CTTATTAAACCAGTTGTGATATACTGTGTCGGAGGTGGGGCAAGATCGAAACGGTTTGAAGTTACTCTTTACATAATCTAGCACGAAAGGGTCCTTAGGGGGAACGATTGGATTTTCTACGGTGGTTGAATCAGAAGACTCTATAGTCTTGGGGCTATCCATTTTATTAAACAGAGGTTTGAAATTATAGCAAACTGGAAAAAATTTCTGGTGTCTTTTAAAATTTCAAAGACTGTAAGAGGGCCCATTAAAGCTAACCTCTTGCCAGCAGCGTTAGTAGGGATTAGTACATGGGATGCATAAAGCATTTCTTTCTCTTTTGAGATCATCTGGGGAACAAGAACAGATTGACCTTGGTAGGTGCCAACCTTGCTTTCCATTGTGGTTCCTGTGGTCTTTCCTTTCTTTTTGGAAACCTTTTTTAGTTGAGATGAAGTTGAAGAAGACATTGTTGGAAGAATGTTGGAAGTTTAGGGTTTCGGTGAGAAAAGAGGAAGAAAAGATTCAGAATGTGGGAAGAAAAGAAAAGACTAAGTTGATGGGTTTTTATAATGTGGAAGTTTAAGCATCCACTGAGTGAGATTGTGATACGTGGTAGTCGTGGGTTGGTTTGATGAAGAGGTGGCGTAAAGTTAATATTGGTAATAGGCGTGATTAAAGATAATCATTGTTTTGTAACTGCACCATGCTGTGAAATGGTTCAAGGCGGTTAAGGAATCTGAAAAGCGTTGTGATTGACGTGACTGGAGTCATATGCAATAAATGTTACGATGATTCGAAGGTCGCATCAAAATCTTGGGTATATGTTTAAAATAAGTATTTCTCAAAGGAATCGAAATACATATTTTAAAGGGGCATTTTGTTGGCTGAAGATTTTGATGATATTATTAGAAGCAAAGTAAATTGGACGTTTCGATTGAAATGAAACAAAACGTCATGTTTCGAAATGGTAGAAGCAGTGCTTCGAATGGGCATATCAAAGCTTGGAGCTTCGAGTGACAGTTAGGAGAATATATTCAAAGAAGTCTCGAAATGATAACAAAGTTGTGTCTAAGAAATGCGTTCGAAGCGAAGAAGTGCCAAAACATATGAAATTCAAATGCAAGCGGGATGTTCAAAATTTGAAATATATGCGCTGGAGCATTCGAAGACGCGTGGAAGCAGGAGAGAGGCATTGCTCTGCATGTTCTGAACGTGGCAGAATCTTATAGCAAGACCGTTATGGTCGAAGTAGTATAAATAGAAGTCTTAGCATTAGGATTTCGTGTGTCATATCTATTGTACAAAAAAACTCAGTAAACATTCAAAATACCACATGGCTAGGGAAACGAATGCACGAGCAATGTACGTATGATAACACCACATGTTTATGATTTAATGAAAACTCTTTATCATTTCCAGTACTTTCCTTTATCTTCATGTCAATACCATTTATAAGCTTTTGCATTTAAAATGTTTTCATTCGAAGTCTTTTTACTGATGCCTTACATTTAAATGCTTTCTTTCCATTTCAAATACTTTACATTTCAGAAACTGTTATACATTTCATGCCTTTATCTTCAAGTCTTTATCATTCGAACACTTTTTTTTACTTAAAGTCATTTTACAGTTTTCTTGCATTTAAACGCTTTCTTCATATTTCGAATCTTTTACATTCCAGAGAATCTTTTACATTAACTGTTTTTATGCTTCGAAGTCATTTACTTGTCTTTTATGCAGTTTTTACATGTCTTTACAATTGACCTCTATTCATGCAATTTAGTTTCGCGCACATTTACTTGATCACACCTTTAGATCTTTAAATCGAAATAAGTTAAACACCTACACAACATTTTAAATACCGACCATGAATACCAGTTCGATCATGAGAGTTACCCTAATGACCAACACATCCTAGGATCAATCTAGTCGATCCTGCGAGTTACCAGAGAAATTGAATAACAGTCAGTAAGATTATTCGATAGTTTGGAGGACTAACGGTTGTTTACCAGAAATCACTGTAAACAGGTACAAGCCAAAGACCTCAGGGAACTAGAGTTCTTCCAGTAAGACTTCATGATTATGAAGTGGTTGGTGATGATGAAGTCACACCAGATGGAGAATTAGTTCATTTTGCTTTACTTGTAGGTGTTGAACCAATCAACTATAGTGAGGCTTTGAAGATTAAACAGTGGAAGTCTGTTATGGTCGAAGAGTTACATGCAATCGAAATAAATAACACATGGTAGTTAGTCGAATTTCCAGGACATACAAAAGTTATTGAAGTAAAGTGAATGTTCAAGTTGAAACACAATGTGGATAGGTCGATAGCAAGACATAAAGCAAGATTAGTAGCTCGAGGTTTTATTCAAAGAGAAGGACTCGTCTATTCTGAAGTATTTGCTTCAGTAGCAAGATAGAGATTGTTCGAATAGTGGTAGCCTTGGCATACAACCAAGGTTGGTCGACATTTCATTTAGATGTGAAATCAACATTTCTGAATGGTCCTTTAGACAAAGAGGTCTATGTCACACAACCTTCAGGATTTGTGATTCAGAAGAAAGCGAGTAAATTATATAAGTTGCATAAAGTGCTTTATGACCTCAAGCAGACACCTAAGGCATGGAACAAGAAGATCAACTCATACTTAGTCAAATTTGGGATTTATCAAATGCAAGTCTGGGTATGATGTATATGTTCAGGTTGTAGCATAAGATATAATGATCATTTGCTTATATGTTGATGACTTGCTAGTAACTATAAATAGCTTGGAGAACTTGTTGAAGTTCACAGAGCTAATGATGAAGGAATTTGAAATGTCGGATCTGGGAAAATTGTCTTATTTCCTAGGCATGGAATTTCAAATGTCGAAGCAAGGTATGGTGTTATATCAAAGGAAGTATGTCAAAAAGATACTCAAGAGATTCAAAATGGATTATTCGAATCTTGCATCCTCATATGTCAAACCAAATGTGAAGTTTGGAGAAGACTAGAGAGGAGGACAAAGTTAATGTAACTTTGTTCAATCAAATTGTGGGATCTCTGAGGTATGTGTGCAACAGTCGACCTGATATAGGTTTCGCAATCGGATTAGTGAGCAGATACATGAGTGAACCAAGGGTGTCACACATGAAGGATGCAAGAAGAATCCTGAGATACTTAAAAGGATCGATAAACTGTGGAATACTATTTTGACAAAACTCTGAAAACAAAGAAGTTACAGTTAATTGTTTTCCAGATGTTGATTGGTGTGGAGATAAGGAAGATCGAAGAAGCATAATTGGATATTTCTTTCAAGTATTTGGTGTTCCAATCTCATGGTGCTCGAAAAAGCAACCAGTAATGGCATTATCATCGTGTGAAGCTGAATATATAGTAGGATCCTATGTTGCATGTCAAACAATTTGGATCAGATCGGTACTTGAAGAAATGGAGGTTGAAGTGAAGAAATCACTTGTATTGCAAATCGACAAGTCAGCCATAAATCTGGCGAAGAATTCAGTTTTGTATGGAAGAAGTAAGCATATCGAAGCTAGATTTCACTTCTTGAGGGAAAAGGTAAATCGAGGTGAACTTGAAGTTAGACATTGCTCAAGTGAAGCACAGTTGGCTGACATTTTCACCAAAATATTAAAGATCGACACATTCTTGAATTTGAGAAAAAAAATTAGAAATAGTTCAGATTGACTATGATTATATGATTAACGTAAATTCGACGACTTGAATTATAGAGGGGTATATTGAGATATTAGATATAATATCAAATATAATTCAAATTAGATATGTTGATATATTAGATATAATATCAAATATAATCTAAATTTGTAAGTCCAAATCCAATTAGGATCATATATAAATAGTCATTGTTTGTATTATTATTTATACAATTCAAATGAATAATATAATCTTAATTTTCTTATTATTCTATTTTTCTCTTCTCACTAAAAATGTCTCACACACTAACAAAATCATCATACATATGCTTAAAAAAACGAATCAATTCAAATTTGATTCAGAGATGTACAATCATAAATAAGATTTAATAAACAATAACAAATAAAACGAAAACAATAAGAAAAACAAAACTGTATTGAAGTGTTATCCATGTATATATGTTAGAGCCATGGAACTACAATTTTCACTCAAATGGAGGCATTAAGGACTTCTTGGATATTGAGATGGGTCTTTTGTGGATTTGGAATTATGAGTCGAATGTTGATCGAATCTATTATATAAAGATTATCATTTGAATATTCACAAAACAATGTAAAAAGTATAAACTAAATTAGCCTATGACAATATGAGAAACAAATAGATGTAACTAATGAGTTTACTTAATATATGAAAAATATCATTCAACCATGTATTTTATATCATCTATAAGCCTATAATAAAACAACAAAAAATCTAAAATAAAAAGCTCATGAGTTCATCAATTGACAAATTATTAAACACATATAAGACTAAAATCATGAAACAATATAATTTTTTCTCTCTATGAATTATAATTTATAAATAAAAAGAAGTGTAAAAGAAATAATTTTTTTCATTTTAATCTTACGGGTCAACTATCCTTCGTATTTAAAAGGGTAGTCTGAAGAACCATGTAGTAGTGACAGACTTAAAAGCTCAACTCAATCTTTGTAAAAAGTTAGGCTATAGATATCAACTTGTTTTGATTTCTCAGTTTGGTCTCAGAAAACATATTTTCAGATGGAATTATAAAAATATAATCACATTTTCATCTTATTTTGTATTTACAAAACTGGGTAGAAACAAACAGAAACTACTTCTATTGATCATACAAAAGTTTAAGCTCGTCTATCTGAAAATGCAGTTAACCAAATAGCATGCAAAATTCTTTCCACAATTGCTTCCCATTTTGTTATGATACCATGAGAAATGAGAGATAATAAACATAGTTGTTACAAAAAAAATCGACCTACATATAATAAATCATGAGATGGAATCTACCTTGTTTGTAAAGTTGTTAGATTGAAACTATTTGGGGTAAGAACACTTTAGTCCAACTGGTGAAAACCAGATTCATAAGGTTCTCTCAACAGTTGAAATTCTTGAAAGTGATTGCTTTCTTCACAGTTTGAGTTTGATATCCACATGCTGGAATTGACATGTTGATCATGCTCACTAATATATTCTGATGAAGCAAGCGCCGTGCCCTCACTCATTGCATGTGTTATGGCTTGACCACAACTGCTTGTGCGATTAGAATGTTCTAGAGAAATAGATTCAGTCGCATACGAATCCCACGGATTGGTTGACAGAAGAGAGAGAGCACAAGTAAAGTCTTGTGTTGCATTTGTATCAGAAAAGGTAATGAAATCTTCTACACCTGCAAAAGGTATTCCACCAAATGAATAATAGTATCACACACATGATAAATGTAACAATCTAAACTTCGTAAAAAATCACGAGGCTCAATTATCAACATATGAAACTACCTGGATTGATGATACTCTTGGTTGCAATGACTTTGGATGTAAAATTGACATTAGAATCGTGAGAAAGCATAGTGACAGTACTTGGTGCGTCAATGTTATCTTTTGCAGGCTTCAAGAGAAAATCTTTGGTTTGGAGGAGCAAGTTGTTATCTATGTTTTGCAAGGCTAAATTTGTAGCAGTCTTTGAATACGAAAATGGACTCATCTGTTGCTCTTCATCTGCAGAACTAAACTATGTTAGAAGATAAAAGACCATAGTGAAATATGCATCATCCTGAATTTCATACCTCGCTGTTAACTATAATAAACCTAAAAACAATTAGAATTGTCTGTTGTTTGGTCTAAGTTTTGACCAACAGCAAAAGTTGAAGTTGTATTTTAACTATGACGGATTTTTAAGAATGTCATATACTCATACAAATCTAGTAAACTCTTAAGTAACTAAGCAGGACAGCAAAAATGACCATATTGTCAATTTCAATTTTTCAAACACTTTGAACTCACCAAAGTTAATAGTCAACTTATAGTATGTTTGGTTTCACAGTACATAAAGGAAAATCACGGTAGCCTAGAAGCTCCCTTTTGGAACTGCCTCTAAACTGCATCCAAACATATGCTTAAGCTTGCATAGCTCGGTCTTAGAATTCTAGATTTCCTATTTTTTTTCACCTTTAACAACCAAAAACAAATAACAAGCAAAAATTGAGATAAACTGTAAAACTAAAGAAAAACTAGTATTACCACATCGCGAAGAAGACAAAGCTGATTGGCTTGATTGGACAACATCAGAAGGACGAGGTTTACGCCGCTTTGCATTATGATGTGAAAGACGTCGTCTACAGCTTCTTCTTTTTTCATCAAACTCAAAAAGAGCATGGAACCTTCAACATTACAAGCAAAGATAAACTTTGAAGCAAACTATTCAATTCAAACACAAGTATTTCCTATGTCAATTATATCAAAACAATCATACTTTTGTTTAAAGAGATTTACCTGCTACATTGCTGGCAAAATCGTCGTTCCAAACCAGCTATAACCACTTTAGGAGATTTGGAATGAGTTTCACAAACTCTATGTTTGCGATAATAATCTTTCACCGATGAAAGGTCAAGGCCACAACCTTCAACTTGACAGCGCGAACATTGTAAGTTCCGGCTATCGGACTTGCATTTCTTTCCAATACTTAAACTCGACATGGAATCCCCAAAGTTTTTGGGATCAGTTTCTAGGCATAAATCCTCAAAGTACATCCGTTTACCGAGTTTTAGAGTGAGCAGTGGTTCAACAGATACAGAAGTAAGGTCTGTAACATTAGAACTTTCTATTAGATCTTCTCTAGACATTTCTATTTCAAATTTCAAAAGAGTTGCAACAAGGATCGATAGAAAAGAGTGGTGAAAACCTAGGTATGAAATTGAGAGAGAAAAGGATGCAGGAAAAAAAAAAGAGAGAGAGAAAGAGAAAGAGAAACGTACTAGAAAGAAGGAGGGTTGTTTGTTATAATGATGATATTTGAACGGAAAAGAGGCGTTCCATTTGGAATGAGCGGAGAAGCAGAGAGACTGGAACAGTGACAGTGGACAGGTGGATGCAGAAACGACAAAACTTATTTATCTCTCTCCCCCCATAGCCCACACACCACAATGTGTATTTCATTATGTGCAATTCATTCCATTTTAACTTTTCTTTTTTCTTTCTTATTTCTCAATCCTTTATCTTCTTCCCTTCATTGTTTTTGTTGTACATTATATTACTGATATTAGTATCGTTTTCATTTTTATTAGTGTTTTTCTACATGTCATTAGTCAAATTATTGTTTATTTGATTGTGATTGTTGTTAGAATTTTAATTCGTGTTTGGATATTTAGTTTCTTTTTCACTCTCCACTAGATGAACTATGGTGTAGTTGATAACTCCATTCTAAATTTGCGCAAGAGTATTTTTCAAGTGTAATTATTTGTCTTTTTGTTATTTCATATTTATGTTGAACCATATGATATTTATTATGTGAATTATAGTGGTTAGGGTTAAGGCTACCAATGATAGAAAGGGGTTCACCAATTGTTACTAAATCTAGGATAGGATTTACCATTTGAAAAACACAAAATAAAGAAAATAATAAATTTTGAAAATTTTTTTCTCTGTCTCTTTCAAGAGACTAAAGAGACTATAAATATAAGTTCCGGATTTTATTGGATTAAAATAAATCTTAATGGACCAAGTCCAACTCAACAAACAATAAAACAAGAAAACTATTAATGAAAGCATTTTAATAAGTAATATAATCTTGCATCTTTTTGAGTTGGTTTCTTATACGAATGGGCTTTCTATTACAACCATTTGATCCAAGAACGACCTTGTCCTCAAGGTTGGGCTTAAAAGAAATTTTAGGTTGTTGAAATGTGGCCCACTTTGGTGTATCACATGATGCGCCTGGGAGATGTGCGGTGGTAGGAATCAACAAAGGGGCATGGGAGACAGTTGGCGGTGTATAAGTGTGTTTGGAAGACAACTCAATGGGACGCGTGGGGCCCATGGAAACAGGTTGTAAAGCAGTTTTGCGAGTTTTTGAGGTGTCAACGGGCAGGAGATCAATGTAAGTATAAGAGTGCGCCTAAGAGGGGGGGTGAATTAAGTACTTTAATAAATTCTGGTTTTAGTGATGATGGATATTATTTTTCTGGTTTAGTGCATGAGTTTACAAATGTGTTTCTTTCTTTTTTAGTTTAGACTAGTGATGAAAGCGGTAAATGCGGAAAAGTAAAGAACACAAAGATGTATCCTGGTTCCCCTCACAGTCTGAGAGTACTCCAGTCCCCTTTCAACATGAAAGAGACTTCCTTATTGTTAGATCTCTAGACAAGACACCCTAGTCCTTCTATACAAGACTCTAACCAATAAAACCACCAAGAACAATCCTCTTGGACCAAGAATAATCCTCTTAGATTTTCACTATGTCAACAATGAGAACAATCCTCTCAAGGTGACCTTACTTGTATCCAACAATCCTGGAAAAACAAGATTTCAAAATCACTTGAACTTATTTTCAACAATCCTGGAAAATAAGCAAGTATATAGCAATATTTGATTTGAGTGAGTTTGTAGTGTAATAATAACTATGAGTGATTTTATCAATGAATTGATCTTTTCTTCCAATGACAATAGTATACAATGACTAAAGATATATAATGCTCAAAGTTTTCTATTTGCCAATATGTGAAAGTGTGCAGAAAAACTTTGTGTATGAAAGTGAAGAAAAGCTTGAGTTTGTTTTTTGAAAATTCAGAAAATATAATAGGAAGAGGTGTTGAAATGATTTTGAAAATGAGTATTTATATGTTCATAGCACCATTTTGAAACAGCATAAAGTTCTGTAAATGAATCATGAATAATTGTCAAGATTGAGTGAAAGGTTTCCATGAAATGGTGTTATGAACAGGCATGTGTAAAGCTGCTGTTTTTCAAAATCATGCAGCATGCAATCGATTGCACCCTTTGTGTAAATCGATTGCACGGGGTTTCAACAGCTAGAATTTCAAATATTTTGAGTGTGCAATCGATTTCACAAGAGTGTAAATCAATTGCATGTGAAGTCAGTAGCAAAAATTGATTTAGTGCAATCGATTGCACAAACATGCAAATTGATTGCACTGAGAAACAGTAGAAAATGTTTTGAAAAATTGAAGCATGCAATCGATTGCACTAATATGCAAATCAATTGCACTCAAGTGAAAAATGATTTTTAGCTTAGAAAAAACTTGAGTAAGGATTTGTACAATATAAAATATTTCTTTTTACCATTGAGCATCTATGTCTTAAGTTTAAAGTAAGTATTATCATTGTACCTTGAAATTTTGCTAAGTGCTTGAACTGAAGACTTTATCCATAGATGCTTTTAGCTTGATCAAAAATCTTTGCCTTCTTTGTCAATCATGGTTTGTCTTTATCAAAACAAAAGTTCATTTGAGAAGCTTGACTTTACATTCTCTCCCTTTTTAATGATGACAAACGATCTTGCTTGATGTGTTGTAATTTTCGGAAAGAGCTTCTCCCCCTAAGATGCATAACTCCCCCTTTGTATGAGAAGGTTGGAATCCTGTTCATCTTGGTTGAAGAGTACCTTAAAAATTTAAGACAAGGAAATATACAAGCATAAAGTATAAAATCCTTCTTCCCCTTTGACATTATCAAAAAAAAGGGAAAGATGCAATAAAAAATGGACAAAATATATGTAATAATATTGAACTCTTAACCATAGCCATATTGCTTCATGATGCTTTTTCTCATCCTTTGATAAATGCACATGGTAGTTATCTTCATCAAAACATAATGTTGAAGATACTTGACTCTTTTAGAAAGAATGAGAAACTCTTATGTGAATGCTCCCCCTATCTTTGATAACTCCCTCTTGATCAAAGTTCACCCTTGAATCATAGAGAATTTTTATCTTTCTTTGGGCTGTAATTGTTAGAGACAAGCATACACATACACACACACACACACACACACACATATATATATATATATATATATATATATATATATATATATATATATATATATCTTCTCCCTCTTTGTATTTAGCAAAAAGGAACGGGGAAAGACTTAAAATGTATAATGAAATTATAAACATAAAAACAAATTTTACCTATGAGTTTTACCTCAAGAGTGACTTCATAAACCATTCATCCTTGATGAATTTGAACCCTTTTCAACAAAGTTGTCTTTTTCTTAGAAGTTGTCTTTTGTTTTTCAACATAAAGTACATCTTCAATGGATATGAAAGTTAGTGTATGAACTTTGTCAATTTCAAGAATTCTTCCTTTAAGGTATTTCCCATATGTGAAATAATCCTTGGACTTGAACTAGATTTGAAATTTAGTGTATGAACTCTATCAAATGCTTTGAACAACCACTATCAAGATACCAAAGATTTCATGTGATCTTCAAGCATACCTACAAAATAAATTAAGTTTGATTTGGTACCCAATGTGCTTTGGGTCCATCATAGTTAGCTTCTTTCTTAACACACACATAATGCCCACTTGCTACACTAAAGTTTCTAACATAGCAAGCATTAGGTGTATGGCCAACCATACCACAATAAAAAACAAGTAGGTTCAAAGTTACTTCTATATCTAGAAGGGTAAGATTTCTTCTTAACAAATCTTTTCTTTTTAGGATATTGATGAACTACTTTAGGTTTGTTCACTTTATCTTTGGATGATTGATCACTAGCTTTAACAAAAATAGTTTTATTAGAACTTGGTTTTGAAAACTTTGAATATCCAAGTCCACTTTTATCATTGGAATATCTTTGTTGGCTAAGAACACCTTCCAATCTAATTTAACCTTTTTCATATCTTTCAATAACTCTTTTTAATTGGACAATTTGGAAAGAGAGTGGTTCACAATTTTTGCATACAAAATTCTGTTTTTGCTCACTAAATTTTTGTTTTTCATCTTTGAGATCTTTTTCCATAGACTCACATTTTTCTTCTAAAGATGAAATTTGTTTCTTTTGAGATGAAATAGTCTTGTACAGAATTTTGCATTTATTTAATAGTTCATCTATAATACCTTGTGCATCACTATCAAAAAGAGAAAATTCATTACTAACCTCGTCATTTTCACTATCGGAATGTGTGAGGCCATCAATGCTAGATTTTCACTTTCATCACTATCGGAATCGGATGAGGAACTTATTTCATTATCCTCCCATGTAACATAGGCCTTTTTGTTCTTGAATCCCTTTTTGCTTTTGTAGCCACCTTTCTTGGAGAGTTCCGGATAATCCGGCTTGATATGACCTTGCTTACCACATTCATAACATATGACTTCTTGTGTTGATGTGGAAGCTTCATTTTTCTTAAATTGTTTCTTTCCTTTTGAATGAGAAAAGTATTTGTCATTTCTACCAAAGAACTTACCAAGCCTTTTAACAAGAAGCATGAAATTTTCATCTTCTTCCGGATTGTCTTCCTTTTCAACTTCCTTAGAATCTATCTTCAAAGCAATATTCTTGGATTTCTTCTCTTGATTTTCATGTTTTTCAAGTCTTCCGAGTTCCGTTTCATATTCTTGAAGTTTCCCAAACAATGTTGCGGACATCATGGAGGAGTGAATTTTCTTTTCTGAAATTGTCGTTACCTTTGGTTGCCATTCCCTAGTTAAGGACCTAAGTACTTTCAGATTTAGTTCATCATTCGTCAAAATCTTACCAAGAGAACTTAGATGATTTGTTAAGTGCACAAATCTCTTTTGTAGGTCAAGAATGGTTTCTCCGGGCTGTATTCGAAATAATTCGTATTCTTGACTCAAGGTATTTAGTCTTGATCTTTTA